GACTGGAGCCCTAGTTAGGGAGCAGGGCACCCACCTAATACAGTAAAGGAAAAGCACATTTCATTTTCCTCATTCACCCACAAGGGCGCCCTGCAACTGGCCAGGAGAAGGCACCATCTTGACACCAGTAGAGGCTGCAGTGGGTCCTGTGTGCACAAGCAGGGATTTTACCAGAGGGAAAATAATCCATATTACCCACAAAGTCTGGATGGGAGGGCTGACAGAGGCTGGGCACCTACTTAGGACTGTGAGGTGCACTCATCATCTCAGCCTATCACAGGCTTGGGGCTAAAACTGCCAAGGTGGAGCAACCACAGGCAACTCTGGAAATGACTGCTCTCTCCATGGACAGGGCAGGTGCATAGGACAGAGAGGGCGTTCTCTGTACCCCATGACTGTGGAAGTCCTGTGCCCTATCCCTATGACTGTGGGAATTCACTACTGCACGTAGGGTGTAGGGTGTAGCACAGTCTTTAGGCAATCATTGTGTCTGGCAAGAGAGACTCAGAGCTCTAAGACTGCCTGGGGTGGGGGACCATAGCTGAGGGTTCTGTGCTCACACTGAAAACTGTGATATTCTTTGTGGGGTTCATGCACCAACATGGGCTAGAGTTGTGCAGATTGTGGGCTAACACCAGGCATTATCATGTTGGAAGAGAAGAAGTGAGGTTGTGATTACACCAACAGGTGTGATCATACTCTCTCCCTTGCTGACAACAGAAGAGATCTACCATGCACAATCTGGGTGTCACCCTAGATTCTCCTCCAATCTTGAGTACTTAGCAGAGCTCCCTGGCCCCACCCAAGTACATGCTTCTGGGTATTCACTGAAGGAGCAGACACTCCACCAAACCACAGAGGCATAGTTCAAAAATAAATCCCATCAGTGTAGAAAGCCAACAACTGTTTCACAGATGCCTAAAAATAAATGCAGAAATACAAGAAACAAGAACAAGGAAGACAACATGGCTCAATCAAAGGAACACAATCACACAATATTAGAATGTGAAGATGAAGAGATTAATGCCTGAAAAAGAATTCAATAGAAGGATCATAGGACTACTCAGGAGCAACGAGAAGCAAATTCATGAATTAAAGGAATCCATACATGTCATGTAGGAGAAATTTTCCATGAATTAGGGATTCTGAAGATAAATCAAACTGAAATATTAGAAATGAAGAATTCAATATGTCAAATAAAAAATGCAGTGGAAAGCCTTAACAGACTTGGTGAGGCAGAAGAAATATCCAAGCTAGAAGATTATATAATAAACTGAAAGTATGTCATTGTAAAAATTAAAAGACTACTGTTATATAGTAGGGTGATTATAGCTGTAATAATATATTTGTCAAAGTGACTAAAAGATTTTTAAATGTTCTGATAGCACAGATAACAGATATTTGAGGTGATGAATGTTACTTTTCCTTGATTACTGTACAATGTATACCTTCACTGAAATATCACATATTACTCTTTCATCTAAAAATAAAGAAAACAAAAGGAAGGAGAAGACAGGGTGGGAGCATTGGCAGGAAGAAGGATAGGGTGGGAAGTATTACTATGTTCCTAAATCTGTATAGATGAAATAGACAAAATTTGTTCACCTCACATAATTAAAAAAAGGAAAAGACAACTCAAAAAAATCAATGGTAGCTTGAACACCCCCTTGACTTGCATCCTCTGGTCTGCTTTAACAAAAACCAGGAGGAAGAGAAAACTAGGCATCAGAAATGTAAAGATAGGTGGCAGGCCTATTAATGGCTGTTCTGTACAGTGATCTTCCCTTAAGGAGACCCAACAGGCCAGTCCACTAAGTGGCTTTCAGAGTGGTAAGCCTGGGCTTCAGCAGAAATCCGCTTGTGAAGAGCCCTGGCAGCTCTGCCAGCCAAGAGTTGGATCACTGGAAATGGACCTGCCCTGGAGTCAAAGGACTTCAGGTCAGAGCCACGTATCTTATTGGTTCTAAGCTGAAAAGCCCTTCACTCAGCCCAGCTTCCAAAGTGACCACTGCAGCTGAGGGGATGGCCAAGTAGGGTCAGCAACATTGCAGGCAGAACTGTAAATTTCCTGTTAGAGATGCCACCTGCCTTTACCTGGCCAGCTCTCCTCCCAAGCCAGGTAGATAATGGAAGTCAACAGGGTGCATTCCCCAAGGAGGGTCAGACCTCCCTTAGGATGTACCCTATGTGAAGAGATAGATAGGTCTGGGCATCTTAACTTACAAGGCCTAAAGCCCACCAGATTATTATTAAGTCCCTTCTGTCAGTTTCTATGTGTCTCTCAATCAGAAAATTTAGTTATGGCTTAGACAGCACCTTTCTTGAGTCCTCTAATAATGACTCTGTCCTTTGTTCTAGACACTGTCTAGCCTACTTGGGCCTCATTCCTTTGTAATAATAACCTCTACTCTAACATCAGTGGCTCTGCTCCCAACCTGTGTGTACTGATGGTCCTCTCCTCCACTTAATGTTGTATGATTATTCAGAATTTCTCTACAGACAAACCCCTCTACCTGCAAAAGTTGAGTGGCCTTTCTCCTGGTCTTGGCTGGGATTAGATTTAAACCATGTCCATCAAACAAACCTCACAAGGGTCCAGAGACCCCCCCCTCATTTCCTCTCCTCTATGAAATCTTCTCATTACCTGGTTAATGCCACTCTTAGGATCATTGGTTGTTATTCTCACCTTGACTTGTATACTACAGTGTCTGTTTAAGCGTTTACATCAGGTGATAATGGAATGAACCAAGGCCTTCAGCAACCAGTCAACCAGATGCTTCTCCATCCATACATGCCTGTCCCTGTGGAGTCCCAAGATACCCACAGCGGGCCCCTGTAGACAATGTCCCCAGTCAGCAGGAAGTAGCCAGAGAGACTCATCGTCACCCCTTTTCCTATCATCAAAAGGTCGGGATGGTAGCTTTGGGATCCACATGGAAGGAAGGCCTACACTTCTGGGAATGGAGAAGTCCCTACCTGTACTTCTGGGGAAGAAAAGTTCTTGTCAAGGTCCCTGCGGGGGCCTAAAGGTCAACCATTGAGGTTCAGACCCGCCTCAACCTTTAACCCCCATGCCCTGAATCTATAAAAGGAGCCCTCCCAACCTCTGATGCATGACTTCCCCGCCCCCGCTCTGTTGGGACTGGGGAATCTCGCCTGGGAGCGGAATCCCAATAAAAGCCTGTGAATTAATGATTCGATTCGTCTGCCTGGGAAGATTTGTTAAGCGCCAGACACCTTGCAATAAATACATTAAAAATGGTCACCTTAAATAAAAAAATTTAAAATAAATAAACCTAAAAAAGAAATGATAATTTACAACTTAACAATACATTTTGTCTTTATATTTTAAAGTATATATTTCTCTTTAGGAAACCATCATTATAATTCTGGAATAAAGCCTATTTGGTGTGTTCATTTGATGTACTGCTGAATTCCATGAGGGTTCTTCAAAAAGTTTGTCAAAAAGTAGAATTAAAAGATAATTTATTTTAGTGCATAAAGATAAAGGGTCATAAATATGCTGGTAAGTATAGAACATGTTGCCTTGAAATTCACTGAGCATCTACTGCTGGGGTCATGTTAGCAGAGACCTCATATTTATTATGTGAATGATAGCAGATTTTCCAGGAACTTTCTGTAGTCCCCTTATATTTACAAGTATTTTCTGTGGTGTTTGTATGTATTACATTGCATATACAATTTTATCTTTGATCATTTAATTAATGACAATAGTAGAAACACCTTGTCCACGAACCGTTTACCATGTCCCTGTTGATTTCATGATAAATCAGGTTCAGTGTAATAGGAGTTTGGTGTCCAGGAAAATACAATGTCACAAGGGCAAAGTCAAATGAATACAGAAAAATAACCCAGTTCATATCAGAGTATATTTTTGAGAGTAGCAAGTGCAAAAGTCAAACTCAGTGGAGTTATTTATGAACAGATGAGAGGAAGTAGAAGCTGCTATTGCAGGATATAATTTTGGAAACTTCACCAAAGAAATAGAAGGGATCGTACGTGCAGGAAATTATGCTCAGAAGAGGGATATTTTACTCTTAGTAAAACTCTGTACCTACCTCTCTTTTTTTATTAATTTATATCCCTAGAATCTAGAACAGAGCCTGCCAAAAAGCAGATAATCAATACAAATTGCTTACATGCTGTTAAAATTCCAACAGAGTTAAAAGGACATCCCAGAAAAAGTTGGAGACAATAGGGATAAGAAAATAAAGGTTACTTTGGAAAGAGAAGACAAGAATGAAGATGATTAGGCACTATTATCCCTGCCAACTAGTCCCCGGAGAATTCAAACGTTAAATTCTAATCATCACAACAGTCTCTGAAGGAATAAACATGGTTTGCAAACTGTGTAAACAAAACTCTTTCGCTTATCTACAAGGCAACCAACAGCAACATCAAAGTTGGCTTCAACTAAAAATGAGGGAAAAGTCCCAGGCAATCTGTTTTGGGAAGCTCGGGTCCCTTCCTTCTCATTTCTTCTCTGCTGTCTCTGTGACAACAGACTGCACAGGGAGAAAACAAAACAAATCACCAAGCAGGGCTAGGCTTCAGTAGCTCTGCTAAACAGATCTAGACGTGCTAGGTTAATTGTTCTCACGGATTCTTCAGGACAGCAAAACCTCCTTCTATTTTCCCACTTCTCTAAGTGGCACGATTAACCAAGAAGTGATTAATATGTAAGTAAAGAACATAAAGGCATCATTCTAGAAGGCAAAAATAACTCCTACAGAATACACGGTTTCTCTATTTGAAAAATCCCCGACATTTTACAAAGAAGTTGATGAATGGGGTAGGACAACAGGGCGGAGGGGGAAGGGGGCGCAGAACGGGATTAGGTGGGGGCAATGAGAACACCCGCATTAAGATGACTTGCTAATTTGCATCACCTGGCGGCCGCGGTCATGGGGAGTTATGGGGAAAACACCTGCCTCGTCGCCAACACCGCCACCCCGGCAGCCACAGGCTGGGAAGGATACAGGTAAGCGCCAGGTCGGTGACGCCCGCCGCTCTCTTGGGGGCTGAGGGGCGCTCTGCCGCAGGTGTCGGAGGAGTCAGTGCCCAGTCCTGGGACCGCGTTTCTGGCTCCCGGCCTCCCAGTCAGCATCCTTCACCTCAGCGCCACCTCCTCGCCAGCCCCTAGCGCCTCCCTCATAGCAGCTCCGGCTTCCTCGTCCTCGGCCCCTCCCCACAAGCCTTCTCTCAAGCCCCGCGTCACGGGCGCCGAAAGACTGGCCGCGGCAGCCCTGACTCCCACGCAGAGGCGCTCGTGACCGTGGTGGCGACAGCTGCTGCAACTGCGAAGACCTTGCCTGGCAATAGCAAAGGTGGCAGCAGTCTCCCAGCCGTCGCCATCTTGGTAACCAACCGACGCCGCGTCCTTCGCAACTGACACCAGGGCGGAGCGCGGCGCGGGGCGGAACGCGCGCTCGAGGCAGCCAATAGGAGGCGCCAGCGGCCGCGCCAGCCTTCAGCGGCCTGGCGGTCCTAGGGTAGAACCCGAGGCGTCCCCTGGGGCCGCATGTTTGCACTAGAACCACTGTGTTGCGCCTCAGGGCCTTCTACCTCCCGTTTCTTGAGGTTGTTTTTGTGGCAGTATAGAGAGGGATGGAAGACATTGGGACGCAAAATCCGTAGACCAGGCATCTGCCGCAGGGCAGATTCTGAAATCTCTGGGTTAATTAAGGGTCGGGTTTGTTGTTAACTACTGAATCCTGTGTGGGGTATCACTATTTCCAAACATCATCTCTTAAAAAAAAGCCTTTGTGCAGTGTAAGTTTGCGTTCCCTGCACTCATTTCACCCACTCGATGATGCTTCTGCCATTCTCTCTGTAGTCCTTTTCCTGGCCATCGCCCTGCTTCGAAGGCCTACATTTCAGATTTCTGGCCTTGCTGCCAGACTCTGGGAATGGGCCAATACAGCAAAGGCGGCCTGGAAAGGCGTCCAGACTTAAGCGCATAATTTCATGGGAGGATATACTAAGCCATTGTATTGAAATTGTTCCAGGAGTTAAGTTAAATGTATTTTTGAACCATGAATTTAAAGGCTATATAAATGAAAATTTGGAAAAAGGTTGAAACTTTTTGTTGGAGTCCAACATAAAAGCACTTCTGATTGTATTTTTATCTAGTTCTTTTTTTTTTCTTATGGAAAACTCCTGTTTGGAAGCAGAATGTACAGACCAAATAAAGATCACTTACCCACCATTCTCTCTGTCTTTGTGAATCAATGATTTCATTTTTAAACTGATAAGAGCAGATACTACACATGATCTTAGCCAAAAGGCCAAGAGACGATAATATTTTCATTTTTAGAGTTGAACTAATGAACTTTTCCAGCTAAAACTACTTAGAACCAAGTTTTTGTAAACTTGGATGCAATGACTCAAATTGGAATATGTTCTGGGGACTGAGATTTTAAAGTCCCACAACAAATTCAATTTTGATTTTAAGCACAAAACACACAAAAGTCCCTTTTAGGATTGTACCAAGAAGGTAGAATATATAATCCTGACAAAGAAAGACTAAACATGTACACTTGGACAATTCGCTATCATGGCAGGTTTTAAATTGATCTAGTTGCAGGCATTGTCCTTGATTCTATTCCTGCTATTAATATCACAACTCTGTCTCTCAGGATTTGTGAGTTGGCAAAGTAGGGCAATGCAAAATGCAAATAAAATGAGAAAATCATGGTTGCAGTTTGGAGTTTTTAGGCAATTTACGTTTTCCTGAAAATCTGGTTTTTGCTATATTATTAGTTGGTATCTTGTAACTATTAGCTACCTTATTGCTTGCTTTCATTGTGTTAAGAAACATGATTTTTAAAAAAGATTTATTTATTCTAAGAATAGAGTAATGGGGAATAGGGAGGAAGAGAGATCTTCCATTCACTAATTCACTCTTCAAAGGTCCACAACAGCTTGGGCTGACCAAGGTTGAAGCCAGGAGCAAGGAATTCCATCAGAGTTTGGCATATGGGTGGCAGGGACCCAAGTACTTGTGCCATCATCTGCAGTCTTCCAGGCATGTTAAGAGAAGTTAAATGGGGTCGGCGCCGTGGCTCAATAGGTTAATCCTCCGCCTTGCGGCGCCGGCACACCAGGTTCTACTCCCGGTCCGGGCGCCGGATTCTGTCCCGGTTGCCCCTCTTCCAGGCCAGCTCTCTGCTGTGGCCCGGGAGTGCAGTGGAGGATGGCCCAGGTCCTTGGACCCTGCACCTCATGGGAGACCAGGAGAAGCACCTGGCTCCTGCCTTTGGATCAGTGCGGTGCGCAGGCCGCAGCGCACCGGCCACGGCGGCCATTGGAGGGTGAACCAACGGCAAAGGAAGACCTTTCTGTCTCTCTCTCTCACTGTCCACTCTGCCTGTCAAAAGAAAGAAAAGAAAAGAAAAAGAAGTTGAATGGGGAGTAGAGGTAAACTCCATCAGTATGAGATGTGGCTGTCCTAAGTGGCAGCTTAGCCTGATGTGCCACAGTGCCCCTCTGCCCTATGATTTGGTTTTTCAGTGCCTCCAAATGCTTGCTCGCACAAAAATCTTCTTGCAAACGTTGCTTTGCTAGGACAGGGCTGGAACAACTGGATAAAGGCTACTGCCATTTACAAAGATGGGGAGGAATAGAGAGTGAGAGAAAGAATAAGAATTAGATTTCAAAAGTGTTAAATGGGAAACGCTTATTAGACAACAAAATTACTAACATTCTCATAGGTTGGTGGTGATGTTCTGCTTACAACAGAAACTAATGCCACTTTATGGTTACAATGGGCATTCACATAACTTATTAAATTTGAATACTATATTAAAAGAAAAAATTTAGATAAATTAACAGAGTAAATAATGATTTAAGCTAAGGCAACACTCAGAACCAGAGTAGTGAACAAGGGCTTTTCTAGGCTCAAACAGAAGCGGAATAGAGAAATCATCTGATTGGCTACATTGAGACATTTGTCTTAATGGGTATAGTCTGAAGTCACTATTTCCAAACATCTGAAATATGGCTATTTTTACAAAAAAATATACTCCTATGTTAGGTTGTGGTTGGTGTAGAGGGACTCAGAGTGTGGAGACAGCCTCAGGCAATAGCTCAGACAACTGTTATAACCTCAAAGGGCATGGCCACAGCTTGTGATGGATAATGTTTGTGCTTTCACTTTCATCCTGGCTAAGCCTATTTTTTTCCATCTTCTGCTGAAGTATTTTCTTGCTCAAATAAGAATTTCCTAAATTTGTCTCCAGACAAGCTGTGAAAGAACAAAGAATTTTAATGTCTGGCTGATTTAAACTTGCTAAAGTTGTATCATCATCATTTCAAGTTCATAGGGGGACTTCAACTAGAAATTTAACATGAAGGACATATATTCATTTACTCCTATTATAGATTATAAAGGTCCTCAACATTGTCAGTTATGTTAGAACAGCATCTAGGCCAAGAGAAATAAAAATAACACTGTCTAACATGTGAATGCTTGTTGTTTCCCATATACTGTACGAAGTATTTACATATATTAAATTATTTAGTCCACACAACAATCCTCATTGTACAAGGGAGGTAAGTGAATTGTGATGATATTAGATAAGTTTATCTCATTTCCAAGGAGTGATGAAATTAAGAAGCAAATCAGGTACCCTATACTCCCAACCACCTCATGCTGCCTCACTGGGAAGTTTAGGTTTGAATAACAGGTGATGAGAACAGATAATTAATGTATTTCTTCATTAAGTGAGTTATGCATGCCTTTTGTGTATCTGTTACCTCAATAATACCATCAATATTATGGCATAATTCGTGCCTTATAGTTCTTGGTCTAAGAAAGGAGATGGAAAAATAATACTTGAAGCAGAAGACTTTTGATTTGCCTGTTAATTTTAGGGTAATGATGTCTTAGACATGTTTGTAGAATAGAGGGAAGGAGTTACCGTAAAACAAAACAAAACAAAAAAAAACGTGAAGACTCACTGTAGACATTGATCTAGCAATAGTCATTCAGAGAAGGGTGATTTTCACGAACACTATTTCCCTTATGTTCAGAACTTTTGATTTTTTCAAAAAAGATTTATTTTATTTATTTGAAAGGCTCAGTTACAGAGAGAGAGGGAGAGAAAGAAGGAGAGTTCTTCTACCCACTGGTTCACTCCCCAAATGGCTGCAATGCCAGGGCAGGGCCAGAAGCTTCATCCAGGTCTCCCATGTGGATGTAGGGACCCAAACACTTGGACCATCATCTGCTGTTTTCCCAGGCACATTTATAGGGACCTGGATCAGAAGTGGAGCAGCTGGGACTCAAACCAGTACCCGTATGGGATGCCAGCAATTCAGGTGGAGGCTTGACCTGAAGCATTTACAATGCTGGCCCCATGGTGTTTTAATAATATAGTTATAAAACATACAAATCAGAGACATAGAAATTTGGTATTTATATGATTAATATGAACATTACAGATAGTTACATACTGTTAAAAGGATATTTTAATTCTGAATTATCAGTTCTGATATCCACATGGAACAAATTTCTACTTAGCATTTTATCAAAATATTTCCAATGTGATTTTTCTCACTCCATTAGTTATTTCTATTTTCCTATTATTTTTTGTGCAAACTCTTTCACAATTATCAATGTATAGCTTATTCAAAGCACTTTTCTCAATTTAAAAAGAAAAATCTGATGCTTAAAAAACTAGATGAATTTTTAAGTGCATGTTTTATTTATATTTACTTATTCATCCATATATTGGCTATGTCACGAAACAATGGATTTATAATACAGGTATGAAGCAATGAGAAAGGGATTTGTATAGCTTAAAATGATAGAATCTCTAAAGCTACCTTGTTTTTCATATGAAGGGTGTTGTTTCAAACTAGGGCATGGAAACTAGTCAGTATTGGCTTCTGTTTTTGTTGTACAGCTTCCAGAATTTTTAACTGAAGACTCCATGCACTGTAGTTCTTTCCACAGAGAGCTGACTGATATTTGAAGAAGTGTTTTCATTAATCCAAGAAAAATATGATGTATCCATCCCGAGTCTCACTTTTGTTCTTAAATATATGTATTTTTGTTTGTGGAGAAGCTGAGCAAGGCAACTATGTGCATCATTCTACGGTAAGAATTTTAGCAATTTTGTTATAGCTAGGAAAGCAGAATTAGCTTTCAAGATATATATTAGAAGTCTGAAAAGATTATATTGCCAAATATGATTTATGGGACTATTAGCATTTTTGTTGAGAAATGTTGAAAAATTGGCTAACTGTTACTCCATTTGAACTTAGGAAGCTATAAACTGAGGATTGACTTAACAAATTTGCTGTGGAATAATTTTAAAGAAATTTCAAGCCAGGTTAAGAACTAGTGTGCAAAATTCCAGTTAGCTTTGATAATATTATATTTGATGGATAATTTAAAAATAATTCCACTTGAAAAAAAGCTATTCTATAAACTTTCATATTTCAAATATAATCTGGTAAATGGTTACCTAGGAAATTAGAATATTGTATCCCAAAATAATGTCAGAGTGGTGGCTAACATTATATTTCTAATACTATGAGTAGCTGGGGATTTGGATTTTAACAGATCTAAGTGTTGTTTTATAATTTTTAAATGTCATAAAATCTATTTACCATTGTGTCAAAACCACATTGCAATGTTCCATGGTTGAAGTAAGAATAAATTTTAGGAAAGATATAGAAATATTATTGATTTGTTTCTCTAAAATACATGCCAATAATAGAAGAACCTTATTTATATCTTTAGAAATCTAGTTTTAACTTAGATTTTTGAAAATATCTCGTATACAGTCATTATAAATATAGAGAGATATAACAAAGATTAAAATAGATCTAGGTAATAAGATGTAAGCATCTTTTCAAGACAAATATCTTTATAATATGATTAGCTCTATAACTTTCTTTCAATATCTGGGTAAAGCAGGATAAAGCTTGTTGTTACTATTGTCATTTACCAGCAGAGTTGTTAAATCTACGTATCTTCCACCAAAGAATGTTTTTAATATTGGAGAAACCAATAATGTACCAATAAGTATAGACAGCTAAGGACTGGTAGCTGGCCTTTTAAAATGATATCTTTTGTTGATTTTTGTAAAGCGAAATTCCATTTTTCTTTTATCACTGGTATCTTTCAAATCTAATATTTTACTTTCCAAATCTTTAAATACCTTAGTTTATGCAAAAATAAGAGGCAAGGGTGGGCATCGTGGTCAGTGGGTTCAAATGCCCCTTGGATGCCCACATCTCATATCGGAGCGCCTGCAAGTCCCAGCAGTGTTCCCGATTCTACTTTCCTGCTAATGTGCACCCTGGGAGGCAGCAAGTAATGGCTCAAGTGTTCCAGTCCCTGCCTCCCACAAGGGGAGAGCCCGATTGAGTTCAAGGCTCCTGGTTTTTGCCAGGCCCATTCATGGCTACTGCAGTTATTTGGAGGAATGAACTAGTGGTTGGAATAACTCTTTCTCTGTCTCTGCCTTAAAATAAAAATAAAAAAAATTAAAATAAAATGAATCAACAGGCATCTTACACATGACTACACTACAGTTCCTAATTGGTGGCAGAAAGTTCATTTTGCTAGAAATGTAGATATCTCAGGGATATTTCTTAACTCCTTTTTAAGGAAGTTCAAACTGAAAGGTTCTTGGAAGAGGTATAATGTAGCTGGATATTCTATTAAAATTTGCAAAATTAAAGGTCACAGTCACAGAATCTCAGTAAGAGAAACAGACCCTAACTGAATTTTCTTGGAGCTTAAAAGAAGGGAGTGAAATTATTGAATTAACATGTGCTTATTTTCCATATTCAAAATTTACCCACAGATTTATTTGTGGAAGTTTTAACTAACCAGTTCATTAAGTGTTTTCAATGATCATCCATGTCTTATGTTTTATGTCTTGAAACCTAACATTTTCTCTACAGTCTTCTTATTTATTATATATTGGGTCACACAACGTATCTCATGTATCTTTACTATTTATATCTTTTAAAATAAAGGATTCTTCAGTAGTTAACACTGTAGAAGATATATCTAATGCAAAAGATCAAAGTAAAAGTAATGACACTATTTATAAAGAAGACTGTGAGGATTCATGTGATGTTATTACTAAAATTACAAGAGAAGAAAAACACTTCATGTGTAGTAAGTATTAAACATAACCATAATTATGAAAATATATGATTTGTTGTTTCTATGTTAGACATGGAAAAGAAATGTCTTACCTTGTGTCTAGGTCAAAGGCTTTATATATTTGGATAGGTATTAATAAATATTTGGTAAATGAATCTATATATTCCTGTGTTATCAACTGACATAGAGAGAAAGGGCAAACCAGATGGCACTGATAGTAGTCTTATACCAATTCACTTAGAACTTGTTTCTTATTTTCATCTGATCATTAGGAAATTTTACTTTTAGCTATTTTTTTTCTTAGAGAGGCAGTTTCTAAAAACTACCACATTAGTATTGAGTTATAATAACTAATATAATAGGTTTACTATAAATTCACAGCTGGCTTATTTAACAAAGCATAATCAATAAAGAGATTTAGAGTTAATTCAAAACTATATTTAGTAACTGTAGTAATTTTCATACATATGTAGTGAGTGGAATTAAAAAGGGAGATTAAAAAGAGCAGGATTGATAATCTGATCTATATCTTACAGGATGTAACTCCCATGTCTGGAAGCATAAAAAATTTACATTAATATATCTAATTCTATGTGTCACACAAGTGTCTGAAGCTTCTCAAACCAATGAGTGCAACTTTAGTTCTCTTGAGACAGATTTCCAAGCCCAGGAAAAAGCTAATGAAGGACAGTAAGAGACTGGTCAGAAAAAAAAAGAAAGAGATGAAGTTGAATCAGTAGAGTTACAAATATCAGGAAATATTCATGTGATTCTATTGCTATAGTGAAAGAAACTTAGAAATAAAATAATTTTAAAAACCTAACATATACAATAGCGTATATGTTCTTTTGTTATAGAAGACATCATATATAACATTGAACTATGGAAAGGGTCTGGAAATCATAGGTAGAGTGTTTACATCTTGATTTTGATGGTTTTGTTTTTGTTCTTAATGTCTGGCATTAGTAATACACTTTGAAACAGCAAGGATGTGATGCAACATAGCAGCATGATCTCAAAGGCCTTAGAAAACCAGTACTTTGTACTGTTCTTGAAACTTTTCATAAAAAATAGAGCTTTGGGTCTGGTGCTGTGGCTCAATGAGTTAAGCCTCTGCCTGCACCACCAGGATCTCATGTGGGTGCCAGTTTAAGTCCTGGCTGCTTCAATTACGATCCAACTTCCTGCTAATGGCCTGGGAAAGCCACGGAGGATGGCCCAAAGTAGGGTGCGTGGAGCTGTGCGTCCATGTGGGAGACCTGGATGAGGCTCCTGGCATTGGCCTGGCCCAGCTCTGGCTATTGTGGCCATTTAGGGAATAAATCAATGGACAGAAGATATCTCTCCCTCTGCTAACATCCCTCTCTCTCTAACTTTGGATTTCAAATAAATAAATAAATAAATCTTTAAAAACATAGTGTTTTAAAATAAAAACACTTTAAATAAGGAAACCATATGGTAAAAGTCCAGTTAGAAACCAACTAACCAAAACCTTTGACTAAGATTTATTAGGTGTGTATATGTATGTTAGCAATTTAAATATAAAAAATTAATCAAAAATAAAACAAAGATTTATTTTAAAAATGAACTTGCCTGATATGACATTGTTGTCATTTACTCTTTTTTAAAAAATATTTTATTTATTTATTCGACAGAGTTACAGACAGTGAAAGGGAGCGACAGAGAGAAAGGCCTCCCATCTGCTGGTTCACTCCCCAAATAGCCGCAATGGCTGGAGTTGGGTTGATCCAAAGCCAGGAGCCAGGAGCTTCTTCCAGGTCTCCCACACGGGTGCAAGGGTCAAGGACTTGGGCCATCTTCTACTTCTTTCTCAGGCCATAGCGGAGAACTGGATCAGAAGAGGAGCAGCCAGGACTTGAACCGGTGTCCACATGGGATGCCAGCACTGCAGGCGGAGGGTTAACCTATTGTGCCACAGCACCAGCCCCATCATTTACTTTTGTATATAGTAAGAGCTGATGAATCCTGTTATCTCCTGCCTCTATTCTTTTCATCTAATAAAGTGAGAATTGATATTCACAACATTATCTCTATAGCATATGCTTTTGGGTAAACTGTATTATTAGGAAGCAGAGTTTCATTGAGAAGTATTTAAACAATCATTTTCTTGGTTAATTCTGAGTTAAAACACTGTCTAAAATACACAATTCTGAATATTTATGTAAATTGGCATATTATTGTTTGTCTATACAAAATCATTTGACATTTATCATTTTTGACTGTAATTGTTTTTGATACCATTATAATATTTAGCAGCCACTTTTTATTATGTCTAAGGAAATTTGCAAAATTCCATTGTTTCCTACACACGAAGTACCAAAAAATTATTAAGAAATATGATGGATGAACAGCAAGCATCTTTGGATTATTTATCTAATCAGGTGAGGATTTTTTTTAGTATTATGTTGTTGCGTGTGCACACTGACTGTAGTAAGCAAGAGGCATAATAATTTCATTTTTAAATTACAGTCATGTTTAGAGATTTTTTTTAGCACCTACTGAGAAAAGGAACCATTAGGGAAAGCCTCAGTGAAACAGAAAGCAATAAAAGCAATGGGCCTTCATTCAAGGGGCATGCAATCTAGTGGAGCAGAAAAATGTGTTGAAAATAGATGGATGCTGTTAGAATAACACAAAGAGAAATCTAAGGTACAATACAGCTCTCCAGAGGAGACAGCCCTAAGGTGAGCCATGAAAGATGAATAAATGCTTTCAAAGCCATGAAGGCTGGGCAAGGAGGGGCAGGCATTTGGAGGAATTTCTTGGAGTTGGGGCAAGATGGAGAGACTGGTGAGGAAGCTGACTACAGGAATAGTTAGAAAGAAGTCATGCTGCACCAAGAAACCACTGAATGTCTGAACAAGGAAGTGACATGAGCCATCTGACAATTGGATGGAGGATGAGTTGGAGAGGAGCAAAGGCAGCAGAGAAGAATCTATAGCAATGATTCAGGCAAGGTGTGAAAAACAGATCCACACAGGCAGTCCGATGCAGAAACAGGGTCAGATAAATTCCATGTTAGGAAGGCAGACACTGCTGAATTTTGTGACTACTCTTTAGCTGTGCCTTTACTGCTTTGGAATTTAGCTAACGGAGGTTGATTCAAATATAAATTTACTTAAATGTGTACGTTAATTATGTGTGTGTTTAGGTTAATGAGCTCATGAATCGAGTTCTCCTTTTGACCACAGAGGTTTTCAGAAAACAGCTGGATCCTTTTCCTCACAGACCAGTTCAATCGCATGGTAAGAACTTTGGTATTTCAACCTTTTCATATTTGTCTGTTATTGCTTAAAATGTTCCTGGACAGATTGGTGCATTTAAAAGTTTTGTTTAAACAATACAGCTCACTATTCTGTAACAGACTGGAAGACTAATACCTGCCCATAAGCAAGTTACACCACAAGCAATGTGTACTTTCCTAAGCTGGAAATCTTTACTGACAGCTTAAAAACTGTGGTCCTATGACAATATCTTGACTCTGTTGAAAGTGGTTTAGGTTTATGTAACTTTATTGTGGGCTCCTCATTTGCACTTTATTAATGATTACTTTTCATATAGGAAAAAATATCTGAGTTACATTTTGACATGTTTGAAATGTTTCAAATTGAGACATAAAATTTGAAAAGACAAATTAAGACAGAAATAAAAGGTCATACTTTATACTAGAATATAGCAATATTAATTCCTAAAGGCTTGATGCTTTAAAAAATGTTTTGTAAATCTTATAAATATGAATGTATATCAAAAAGTTCTAAGCAAATACATTACTATGGAAGGACTAGTATATGACCTTTGTATTTTCCTTCGAAATGGAAAAGGATACCGGAGCATCTCCTATATTCCAGGTATGAGGACAGGCAGTTTAACTATAATTTTGTTATATCTCATTTATTTCTCATAACCATCCCTGGACAGGAAGTATTGTATGGTGGTTAAGAGCATGGGCTCTGATATCAGACTGCTTGACTTCTGGTCTACTATCTCCTTGATACCAGTGAACTCATCAGTAAACTGATAGTACCTGCCTCATGCAGTTGTGATGATTAAATGGATAAATATATGCAAAGCCCTTAAAATATTGCCTGAAGCATAGTAAGAGTAATGTAAGGGTTTGCTATGATCATTGTTATCATCAGATAAGGATTATGGGGCCCCAGAAAATCTAATCTGTTCATGTTTAGTTAGATGATAATGACAAAGTAGATATTTCAACCCAGATCAGTCTTAGAGTGGACTTCCAGCAGGCAGTCATTATAATGATGTCTCCTGAATGCCCAGCATATAGGCAGCACAGCTGTATCTCTTGGAAATGAAAGGAGAGTAGCACATTTTTGTATCAAACTTTTTATAGAGACATTTTCTGTCTATTAGTATGTGATAAGGCTTTCCATAATGCTTTACCATATAAATTGTCAGAGTAACACTATGAAGTCAATAGTGTTATTATTATTCTGCTATTACACAAAGAAAATAAGGTTTGGAGTGTTTAGTTAGTGTTTAGCAAACTTTAATCTAGACATCTTCTTGATTGATGCTCTAATAGTTGAATTTATTTTATTATATTTGTAGAAGAGGCAATAGAATGTAAAATTCAATAGCTTTAGTAAAATATAGTATACGTATTCACATATATATGTTTTCAGTCTTGCAGGGACCTGCATGCTTTGGAGACAGTGATAATAGGATGATATATTCTAACTATTGTAAATACAGGAGGTTCTCATCTGGAGTTTGATTTTTTTCTTGGTGAAGAAGCTGATTTCCCCTTTTTCCTCTTTGGCTGCTACAACAGTGGTCACTGATATATCAGAGTCTCTGAAGTTTAGAATAGAGTTGCCAAGGATGTGTCAGTACACAGTAATCTATTTATTTCTCTGTGTTTTTTATTCCCTATTCATAAAGATTTCTTCAACACATTATGCTCTTTAATATAAACCTAGATTCCTGAAAGGGTACTTTTTTGAAAAAGAGAATGCATAATTATAAAATATACTAAATTTTGATCCCAAATGAAATTTTTAAACAGTATAGAACAATAATAATTAAGTGATGTCTTTAGTGAGGGCTTACTGCAACATAAATTCTTTGATCTCAGTTCTTCCATATATTTTCTCCTTATTTCTGAAATTGTGATCATTTTCCTTTTCCAAGAAGTTAAAAACCATCATATCATAAATGAAAATAATACTCTTAGATAAACCGGTCAGTTCTCTACAGTAAAACAGTTGTCCTGAAAACGTACTTGAAAATGTCCTAAACAGAACATTTTACTCTTCTAGGTTTAGATTGCAGTGACATTAAAGATACCATTGGCTCTGTCACCAGAACACCAAGTGGTTTATATATAATCTACCCAGAAGGATCTAGTTACCCATTTGAGGTAATGCTTTCTCTTATTATGAGGAATAAGTTAAATATTAAAGTTATAATTGGTTTAAGATTTAATTTTTTCTTGAAAATTTAAAATAAATTAGGAAAAGCTCTAGTCTCAAAATTTTGATTTTCTATAATTCTAATATCCAAACCACGGACCAATAAAAGGACTAGAAAGAGTTTGTCTTTCCCTTTTCTGTTTTAATTTCCAGGTTATGTATTTTAAAAAAATGAAAGATTTATTTATTTATTTGAAAGGTAGAGTGATAAGGGAAGACAGAGAGACAGAGATATTCCATTGGCTGGTTCACTCCCCAAATGGCCACAATAACCAGGTATGGGCCCAGCCAAACACATGAGCCAGAAACCCCAGTCTGTTTTCCCACATAGTGGAGGGGCCCAAATACGTGGGCCCTCCTCTGTTGCCTGCCGAGACACATTAGCAGGGAGCTGGATTGGATGTGGTGCTGCTAGGAATCAAACCAGCACTCTAATATGGGTGCTAGAGTCACAAACAGTGAACTAATGCACTGCAACACAACCCTGGTCCTCCATGGTTATAGTCTTCAAAGTAAATCCATGTGGTGAAAGATCTTATTACTTTTTCTTTAAAAAAAAGATTTTATTTATTTATTTGAGAGCTAGAGTTATAGACAGAGAGGTTGAGGCAGAGAGAAAGTTCTTCCATCTGCTGGTTCACTCCCCAAATGGCCACAATGGCCGGAGCTGAGCAGATCTGAAGCCAGGAGCCAGGAGCTTCCTCCAGGTCTCCCACGTGGATGCAGGGGCCCAAGCACTTGTGCCATCTTCTGCTGCCTTCCCAGGCCATAGCAGAGAGCTGGATAAGAGGAGCAGCTGGGACACAAACTGGCACCCATATGGGAGGCCAGCACTGCAGGTGGAGGCTTAGCTGACTACACCACAGCGCCAGCCCCAAGGTCTTATTACTCTTACATTAGACAGGATTACAATAGGTAGAACTATGCAATATAAATATTTGCTTGAATGATTATGATGTGCTTTGCTTTGGCAGTTACTAAAGATACTTTTAATTTTTTTTTCTATAGATGGTTCTTTTGATGATACATGATTTCATATGATTGCATAAGAAATTAATAATCTAGAAAAATTTTTCACTGGAGTGTGAAGTATATTGAGAAGCTGATCCACTCTTAAATTGAATAAAATAAATTATTTTCCTGTCTATGCTTGCCAATTCTATGATAGGATTTCAAAGACAAATTTCTACTGTTATCCATATTGATGGGATATATGCATATGTATATATCTGTGTCTATCCATATATGTTTGAGTACTTTTCCTTTGTGCATAAGAAAGTTCATAGTACTTGTGCCTTATTTATAGTCTTTATTACATAATAAAATAACTTTTTTTCTGGGTAGTTACCACCAGTTTCTCTTAGAATTACTACCATTATTTTTTTGACATCTATTGATAAAATGTCAGAAAATTGGGACTAGGTGGGAAATAATTTTAAAATTATTACCTAAATTGCTTTGTCTGCAGATTCAAAACTAGATCTGAACAGATGTGGAAAGAGAAGGCTTCTAATTTTGTGAAGAGTGGGATGAATAATTACCTCTTTTGTGAGAACGTGTTGAGTCCCTCACTTCCTCCACACTGTATTTCTCAGTCTTCGTGTGGGAAGTTTCTGATAGAGAATAGTGCTCTGATTTCTTCCCTAAGTTGCTTTTATGGGTCCCCTATAGGTTCTCTACTAGGGGCTTTTTTAAACAGCATCAATAGCTGTACCTACGAGTGCCTGCAGAGTGGGCAGAGATCATACCTTTCTGCCTGGAAATGCCAGTCTGAATGTAGACCTTCCAGGCTTGTGTGGGAAAACCGCAGTTAAAAACAAGCATATGGGCATTTATAAAACTGTGGAAAAATCCACCAGCATTTTAATTCAAGGGAAAAGTTAGTTTGTAAAGAAATACATCACTATGCTGTAACAGCTCACTACAGTAATTATGATACCGAAAAAAATTTTTAGAGTTGACTAATAGGAGGATAACCTTAAAAAGCTGTAAACATATATTTTAAAAAATGGTAGAGACTGTAATTAGATTAATTAAAATTTTCTTTATAATAAGAATTATTTTTATAGATAAAAAATCAGAATATATAATTATATAATATATATATAATGGCGTATAATTGCAATGAAAACTTTCATTGAGAGTATCTTCTCTTTCTCTAAAGTTAAGGATTAATGTGAATTTTATCAAATAATGATAATAATGGTTTTTTCTGGTCCTATTTTAGGTCATGTGTGATATGGATTTCAGAGGAGGTGGATGGACTGTGATACAGAAAAGGATTGATGGAGTAATTGATTTCCAAAGGTTGTGGTGTGACTATCTGGATGGATTTGGCGACCTTTTAGGTCAAATTTATGTATTTTTGTTCTACTTTTTTCCTTCTTTTTAATATTTCTATTGACTATGTCTCTATGGATCAGAGCTGCAGAAAAATAGAAAGTCCTTGTGAATATCAAAATATGACTTAAATCACTCTCTTTTCATATGTTAAATTACTGAACATAAGTAGCTCTTCAGCTGAGATCCAGAAATCTTTATTTTTTAGGTATTTGTTGAAATGTGATTTGAGTGAAAATTCTATGTGGGATATTTATTAATTTTCTAGTATGCAACCAGCAGAGTTCTGGCAGGTGCTGGTAGGTGCTCACCAACTGGTTCAAAGTGGCAGGGAACTTGAAATTATTGAGATGTGTGCTGTATCTACACAAGCAAATGAAATTGAGTATTGGTCCAGATTGAAATTGTTCAAACTGAGCAGAATGTTCTATAAAGAAATCAATAAGACTACTATGCTCAAAATTTGAAGATTACAAACTCAAGTGCATATAAAATGTGTTAGCATTGCTGCCACTTTTTCTAGTAAGCACAAACACCAGTGACCTGCAGAATTTACATTAGTTGGAACTTCTCCAGGTGATCATGATAATTCTGCTATTCTCTTTTATTGTTGTTTTTAAATTTTATTTAAGTTATACAAGTTTCATATATTTTAATTCTGATATTTTCAAAATTACTGTTGTTATAATTTAACTACTGTAACCTCCCATAATGATGGCATCCAAGGATTCAGTAAGTGGTGGTGGTAGCTCTGCTCTAAAAAGCCTACTGCATGCAAGTGACTTTTGAAAGCATTTGGCTTCTAGCCAGATATCTACCTTGCTGTGGAAAGCAGTTAATTTACCTGCATTACCTCTAATTTTCCATTGAGTGCTTCCTTCTCCATTAAGCAAAGATCAACATATAGGCTTTGCATTGTCATCTTCCTAACTTCATGCCTATTTCTATGGGGAAGTATGAATTTTGACTAATAATGTCTTCAGGTAGGTATCTTTCATAAGGAGTGAGGCTGCTTTGTACTTGCCATATTTTAAAAAAATTACTTCGAGTCTTGGGAAAGTATATTGTTGAATCTTGGATTTGAGGTGAGGGTAAAGAGGAAGGTGACAGGGTTATAGACAGCGTGAAGGGTTATAGGCTGATAGTCTGACCATACCCCTACCCATATTCCTGGTCTGCTTTCTTCCTGTTCTTCTTCTGGATACGTTTCAGTTCTAAGTGGGTGGTAACTAAAATGCTCCCGTCAATCCTGAAGAAGGGCTTAATATCTTAGCTACAGTTATGAGTTTGGATGCTGTCAAATTATCTTCCAACTCTTTGAAGTTTGTTTTGACTACACCCTTACCTAATTTAGTCATTTCTGTGGTTCAAGTAGGTGTCCTCAGAACAGAGGTGTCCACTTTTAGGCTCTGCTGTTATGGGTAGGGAGAGACATTGGGTACAGTACACATGCAAGCAACACACAGTATGAATCGGAGAGTTTTAGAGTTTATCCTGGATTTACATTTATCTTGGAAATATTGACCCTAAACCTGAGGATACTCTAGTGTTGGTATGTTATGTTTCTAGTCATATAAGATGAACAAGCTCCATTTTAACAAAGTAGTATTTGTTCTGAAAGTATTCTCCATGGAAGGAAAAAAAAAATTATCAACTGAACATTTTCAAGACATGTTTCTTTGGAGGTTAAACCTCTACATTTATTGGTAGGCATTATTTTATTACCTGTTGTTTTTCTGCTGACTTGCCTTAAAACTTGACTTTATATTTAATTGAATTTAATTTGGGGAGATAGAAATGAAACAGTCTAGTGAAGCAGAAATAGGATAAATATTTTTGGTAAATTAGGCAAACACTGATCATTTGCACTAGAATAGCCAGTCCCTCTATTTATGTGGGTCACCTCAGTCACTGAAACACTAAATAACATCAAACATTAGATGATAAAGATTATCCTTGTTTGTATCAAAATATATTAAAACAAAGCATTTTTTTTACAGGAGAATTTTGGCTAGGACTAAGAAAGATTTTTTATATAGTAAATCAGAAAAATACCAGCTTTATGCTGCATGTGGCCTTGGAATCTGAAGATGACACCTTCGCTTATGCATCGTATGATAATTTTTGGTTAGAAGATGAAACAAGATTTTTTAAAATGCACATAGGACGGTATTCAGGAAATGCTGGTAAGTTTTTAATTTCTAAAATTTTCCACACAATTTAAATAGAACTGACTCTATTAGACAAAGACAAAAATGAATTTCTCTTGATATAAAGACTGATAATAGAATAGACGAGAAATGAGAAACCTGAGCAAATCTTGAGTATTGAACCTCTTTTATGATTGTGGTACTGAATTATCATTTGGACCATTTTGTACTCTCTAAGACAATTTGTCACAGGTAGTCTAAGTTCATTCTTTAAGTAGAGAGCCTTGGAATGAGCTAGGAGAGTATTATTTCCATTTATATGTTCAGGGTGGCTGGCATCTGCAAGTCATACAATGTTAGAGATGACCTTCATTCCTCTTACTTCACAGGTGAAGAAACCTGAAAGATTAAGTGACTTTCCCTGATCATCTCCCCTGAGCCACAGCAAGGATCCAGGTTGATAGAACAAATAGTGTAGTGCTATTTTCACTATCCCATGGTGCATCTGCTCATTTCCAAGCAAATTTAATTTGTCACAACTTCAGATACTTGATGTTAAATTTATATTTTGATACTAAAATTTTAAAGGCAATTGCATTAGGAAAAAAGGAAATTCAACTTCCCTATTGTTGCTACTCATGGTACATACAGCGTTAGAAATGAAAGACCAAGTTTCCCGGCTCTTTAACTGATCACAGTATAGAGGGGAAGATAAATAGCATTGAAAACTAAGAATATTGATATAGTTTTGGGAGTTAAAGAAAGGATGAGAGTGATTCCAGTTGATTGCATCCAGAGACTCTTTAGGGAGGGAAGTTTTCCACAGGGGTTAATGCTAGATTAGACCTGGGGAGCTTTTGGAAAGTACATATTCCTGCTGAATCTGATTCAGCAAGCTTGGGCCAGATAGATGTGCTGGACTACTTACAGCTGAGAACCACTGACCTGGTCTTGCAGGAATGGATTGGCTTTTGGCAAGTGTACATTGGCAAACTGAGCAGCCAGAGTCGAGGCATGGAGGGAGGAAAATTACAGGGCAAAAAGAGTTGTCTGGTATGGTTGGAATCTGTGACACCAGAGAGGGTTTATGCTTGGGATATTAGGTGAAAGTCTGAAATTCAAGTCTCACATGTATGGAAAATTTAAGAGTTTTAATATACAATTTTTAATGCTTCACCTCTGAAAGCATGTAAAGAACTATCTGAATATAGAGTATGCTATGTTAGGAAAAGTTTATGTGAGGGTTCTCTAAATGATAACTAGGATCTAATTGCAGGATGAACTTCATAGTGGCAAAAGATTTTTCATTACAGAACCCTCAGATTTTGCCATGTTATATTCTACATTTCCCAACATGGTTATTAAATCACTTTCAACTGTCAGTCACAAAATATAATCAATATAATGAAAGTAGAAGATACTGTAGAATGTGAGACTAACAACATAAATAAATTGAGGGGGTTATTGTGATCATACAAGTGGCAGAGGTGGGCCACAAATTTGTCTTTGAGTTCAGAGCAAAACTATCAATACAAAATTTTTTTTTTTTGACAGGCAGAGTGGATAGTGAGAGAGAGAGACAGAGAGAAAGGTCTTCCTTTTGCCGTTGGTTCACCCTCCAATGGCTGCCGCGGCCGGCCCACCGTGCTGATCCCAAGGCAGGAGCCAGGTGCTTCTCCTGGTCTCCCATGGGGTGCAGGGCCCAAGTACTTGGGCCATCCTCCACTGCACTCCCTGGCCACAGCAGAGAGCTGGCCTGGAAGAGGGGCAACCGGGACAGAATCCGGTGCCCCAACCAGGACTAGAACCCGGTGTGCTGGCGCCGCAAGGCGGAGGATTAGCCTAGTGAGCCACAGTACCGGCCTAGCAATACAAATTTAAACATTTGAGCAATGCAGTTAATCCATGAGAGCACAAATATTCAATAATATAAAACTTGACAGAAATTTCTCTGGGTTCTCAGAAAATAAGGTATCATGTTCTCCACCTACATGCTCATAGTAGTGGTATGAAAATCTGCTATTTATACATGATTTTTCTTTTCCTTAATATGAATTGGTCTCCACTTAGTATTACAGGACTGTATACCATCATTTTGGCATAAATTACCTTATTTTGTTTATACAATCACACTTCTATTTTGCATTACGATTTTTATATCAAATATCTGTTTAAAGAAGCCTGTCACTCTGAGGAATTTATTCCCAGACTCTGGAATATCGGAAACTGTATGTATCAGAGATTTTTACAGGATGAACAATAAAAAAATAATTTAAATCTTTTTCAAGATGTGATGCTTTTGCATAATATCCTGGTAATGGTTGATGAAAAGAAGGGAAACTGCCTTCAAATTCAGTTATTTAAAAAAATCTACTTTACCCAGGTGATGCATTCCGGGGCCTCAGAAAAGAAGATAATCAAAATGCAATGCCTTTCAGCACATCTGATGTTGACAATGATGGGTGTCGCCCGGCATGCCTGGTTGATGGTCAGTCTGTGAAAAGCTGCAGTCGCCTCAATAACAGCACTGGCTGGTGGTTCAACCAGTGCGGCTTGGCAAATCTAAATGGCATTCATTCTTTCCCGGGAAAATTGCTTGCAACTGGAATCCAGTGGGGCACGTGGATCAGAAACAACTTACCTGTCAAGATTAAATCTGTTTCAATGAAAATTAGAAGAACATACAACCCATATTTTAAGTAATCTCGTAAATTGTAAGGCAAGTTCCACAATTATTTTTGATGCTGTGTTCATAATTTTATGGAGCCTCTCTTTTTCCTTAGTTTTAAATACATTATAATATTTATAGATGGTATTTAAGTGCTATGAGGTTAATTGGAGAACTTCAATTTTGTAGCATTTTCTAAGAGAAATCAAGGCTTATTGTATGTTTTCACTACCAATTATGTTAACTAAGTATAATCAAGTTTGTTTTAAGTGAATTACAACTTGTCTTCCTGAAATTTATAGTGATTTTATACGATTTTACCTTTTCTTGGAAATTAGAAAGCATAATAAGCTGTTAAGGAAACTGAGAAAATTGTTTTACTTATTTTCATTTTATATTCATTTTATATAATTAATTATATAATCTACAAATACTTTCTGTTGAAAAAATTATAAGAAATAACTTTTATGCAGATTAATATATAAATTTCATATGTTTTATAAACATTACTAGTCTAAAGTGATGCCACAATGTTGTATTTAGTTTGCTACCAAAATAAAGCCCTTCTCGCTCCTTCCTTGATAATTTTATTCCTGCTTGCAATAAAGTTACTGTATATTTATACCCTGATCAGTTGCAGTCTAAAACATGTACTAACTTATCTCTTTTGAAACCAATAGCAATGGTGGGGCAAGAATCAAGATGAATCAATGGTTTCGATGTACAGTAGGAGCAAGCTGGGCATCTCCGCTCTTCTAAGTTAGCAGGAGTGGGATGGTAAAGATTTCATGGGAGAAGGCCACAGGAGACCTGTGGGGCCCAGTGTTGGATATTGATAAGGTTATTGATAAGAGAAATAAGGAAAACAATTAAGACTGAGCTTTGAAAAGAAAAGTACTTTGTTAAGAGTTAGCATTACATAACATGCAAAGGATGACAGAAGTGGCTGAAAAACGAGGTGGGAAGATGATTGAATTGAAAGTAGATGTAGGAGTGGGAGTTTGGCATGGCAGTTAAGATCCTGCTTGGGACACCCTCATTCCATATGAGAGTACCTGGGTTTGAGTTCTGCCCCTGCTCCACATTCCAGCATCCTACTAATACATGTCCTCAGAGGTGGCTGGTGATGGATCAGGTGCTTGGGTCCTTGCTGCCTATGTGGGAAACCCAGATTAAGTTCTGGGCTCCTATATTCAGTGAGGCCCAGTCCTGGCTGCTGCCAGCTTTGAGGAGTGAGCCAGGAAATCAGAGATCTCTGTGTCTCTGCTTCTCGCTCTCTCTCTCTCTCTATCTGTTTGCGTGTGTGCCTTTTAAATAAGTAAATAAATAAAAGTAGTTACAAAGATAGAGTTGCCAATGTGAGGGAGTTGATCCCAGAATAGGGATAAACTAGGTTAGTACTGAGAATCTAATTTAGATTAAGAGATAGTAAGAGATGGTAAAAAATGATCGCAAATATATATGAGGATTTATATGAGATAAAGTTACAGGTGGGTGCATGTGATAACCCGTGGCCTCTTGTGCATCTCACAGAGGCACAGCTGAGGATTTGTGTCCTGGCAGTGGAATTAGATACCTGCCAGACTAGATGAGGACAGGATTATGGGTTTACTGACTTTTATACCTGCAGTGATATTATCAGAGGGCAAATTAATCTACAGATTAAGGCAATAATTTTGTTATTTTAGCAAGCCACATCTGATGACTGGATCCTGGGCCATGAAATTCTTGCTAAGCCTGCGTTGGCACTCCCTGTGGCCCTCATAGTCTAGGGGCTTCACATTCCTAGCCCATCATAAAAGCTATGGAGATGATGAAGATATTGAGTGACTACTGACTGCCTCTTACATGAGGTTTTGCTTCTGCCAGTTTCAAGGATCTGTGGTCAATTGTTTAGCATTAGGCAAATATGAAAGTAAATCTTTCTATTTCAAAGGCAGAAAGATTTTATTTAATTACTTGTATATCTGAAGTTTCCACATACCCCCAACACAATAAATAAAATCAGAGAAGTGAGAAAAACTAGAAAATGTACTTTTAAGAATGACAGTCTATTTCTTATACATGATGCATTCTAAAATATAAAAACATCTGTATAAAATAGGCAAGTGACATCACCAGCAATTGCCAGACTATTAACAGTCAATAAACATGAAATTATCTAATAAATCCTCATGAAAATTAAGGCCCAGTCTTGTCAGCATTTACATGAGATAATACCACTGTGTACAGAAGCTGGGAATGGACTTGATATGGCCTTGTTGAAGAATATATTTGATAATATTTGTCTAGAGCTAAGCAATAGTTGAAAAGAAACAGCTTATCTCTGATTTCTACAACATATTCACATACACATAATGATAAATATCAATCATAGTTAGCATTTAGTGTTTACTCTGTACCTTACATTGTGTTAAATATTATGCATGGAACTTATTTAGTTCTTAGAAAAAATCTATGAGTTGGATATTAATCTTTACTGCTGAAAATGATTCAATCCAATATATAACCACAGCAATATCATTTATATGTAGATGAAATAGAGTTTCAGTTTGAACACAAGTCTTCTCAGCCCTGTTCACCATGCTGTAACAGCTGGATGTGTGGTGGGCAGAGTGCAGACTCCTATGGGTCTGACCCTGCTCTAATCTGCTCCTGGCCACTTGTCTCTGTTGTGCTATTATACAATGAGCGTTTTTGTAAGAACAAATCAACCTTCACATAAGTTTGAAATAGTTTTTCAGTGATGTTATGAAGGAAGAGTTTGGAAATCCACTTGTTGATATAAGAGCAGGAAATATGAAAGTAAGTAGGTAAAAACAAAAATGAAACTCTATTGATGATTGAAATTGGCCTAAACAAGGCTTGACATCATCTTGTATAGTTGCTCCCTTTCCAAGGGATGAGGTAAAGGATTCACAGGATCTGTACTTTCAATTCGAATGAACAAGTATAATTAAAAAAGCTTTAAGAAATATAAATGAGAACTATCAGTAATATTAAAACATATAAAAGGCTATTTTCATTTTATCATTCCTAGTATTATACATTTAGTATATTCATGCTTTTTTTTTTTATAAAAGCAGAATTTAAGAAGTCAAACCCTTGTTATGTGGCACTTAAGAATTTAATGCATTAAACAGCTGGGAATAAGATTTGTGGTATTCTCTTTTCCACTAATGCTTGAAGCAGAAACTGAAATGAATTGTATAAAGAAAACTTTCTTTTTTCTGTTACACAAATTTCTTAAAATTACATTTGAAAGCATTTAATTTACAGCTTTAATAACACTATAATTTCACACATGGGTGTAAGTTTTTTTACAAAAAGACTTTTAAAAAACTTATTTAATTGTTTATTTGAAAGAAAGAGTGGCAAAGAGAGAGGGAGAGACTGAGAGAGATAGGAGAGAGAGAGAGAGAGAGAGAGAGAGAGAGAGAGAGACCTTCCACCCACTGGTTCACTCCTCGAATGCCCACAACAGCTGGAACTGGGCCAGGCCAAAGGCAGGAGTCAGGAACTCTGACATGGTCTCCCACATAGGTGGCATGGGCCCAAGTATTTGAGCTGTTATCCACTGCCTTCTCAGGTGCAGTAGCAGAAAGCTGGATCAGAAGCAGAGAGCTAGGATTTGAACCAGCACAAGTATATGAATTGCTGGCACTGCAATCAGTGGATTGAACCACTATATGCACCACAATGCCATCTCCACCCTAACGACCTTTTGACAAAGTCCATAGACATCTAAAAGTGATACTCTTAAAATCTGCTATATTTTAAAAAAGTAAATGGACGATTAGCAATAAGAGATATCACAGCAGTCAACAATCTGAAAATTAACTACTTTATTCAGTCTTCTATCTGGACAAGAGAGCTTGAATTAAACTTTTAATTCTAAATGAATATGCACATAAACAGGTACACATTTCTTTAGGATGCAACTGTGGTGCATGTGAACCATTTTCTCAGCCACTAGCATTTTATCAGTCACTAGCACCGGTTACTGATAACAGATCGATGATTTGCATTTGGTCTTGGGAAGGCACAGCCCTCAGGATTAAGGCAATTTGCAGAATGACATTCAATGAGCCCATGTGTGTGTGCTGATATTAATTTTAATATGATTCAGGGATGGTTCCCTAAGTGCGACCCAATTCCTACACCTGTGTTATATCATTTGTTATATAGTGACTTTAGCATGGAAAAACTCAGGAAGATGGTCCAAATGCTCAAGGAAAAGGAGCATAATGAGGTTTTTTTTCCATTTCACTGATGGAGAAACAAAGCACCTGGCCAGCTTACAGTCACCTCACTTGCAAGTGACAGAGCTAGGATTTCAGTGCAGGCCTGCCAGATGAAAAGCCCTAGGCTTTGCTAATTCTGTTCAACAAGAGAACAACTCCTGGTCTCTCTTTCTAAAGTAAGTAAACTAACTAAATAAATTTTAAGGGGAGCAAGTGTTTGGCTTAGCGATTAGGACAGCACTTAGGATACTTGTATCGCATTTCAGAATGCCTGGATTTGAGACACAGCTCTTATCCTCATTCCAGCTTCCTGCCAATGTGCGCTCTGGAAGGCAACAGCGGATGGCTCAAGTGTTTGGGTTTCTGCCACCCATGTGGGAGACGTGGATTTTTAAGTTCCTGGCTTTCCACTTCAGTCTGGCTTTTATTAATAGGTATTTGGGGAGTGAACTAGCACATAGGCCATCAAATTTTTTTTTTAACAGGCAGAGTAGACAGTGTGAGAGAGAGAGAGACAAAGAGAAAGATCTTCCTTTGCCATTGGTTCGCTCTCCAATGGCTGCTGCGGCCGGCACACTACACTGATCCGAAGCCAGGAGCCAGGTACTTATCCTGGTCTCCCATGCGGGTGCAGGGCCCAAGCACTTGGGCCATCCTCCACTGCACTCCCGGGCCACAGCAGAGAGCTGGCCTGGAAGAGGAGCAACCCGGACAGAATCCGGCGCCCCAGCTGGGACTAGAACCCGGGGTGCCGGTGCCGCTAGGTGGAGGATTAGCCTATTGAGCCGTGGCGCTGGCCTTCAAATTTGTTTCATTTGTCTCTCAAATAAGTAAAAATTAGACACTCCTGGTGGACTCTCTATGCCATATATGTCTTCTTTTGGGGGGTTAACTTTATTTTAGTTAACAAATTATAATTGTATATATTTATGTAGTATAATGTGATATTTTGATACATGTATACATCATAGAACAACCAAATTAAGGATGGTTAGAAAATTTGTCATCTAAAATACTTATCATTTCTTCATGGCAAGAACATTTAAAAATTTTTTAGTTATTTTACAACATAAAATGCTTTATTATTAACTATGGTCACTATGCTGTGCAGAAGATCT